GCTGAGGCTGTTCAAGAATGTATAGACTTTATGGATTGTACAGCTCCATACTCCAGCTGTAGCATAGCCTAGAGCAGCAACAGTATGCCCTGCCTCTTCACTCAAGTACAGGGTATACACAAAAGGCAACCGCAGCTTCAAAGTAAAGGAGACAAAGATCCAACCTCTAGGCACCTACATACATATACATTTATAGAGCATTTAAGCCAATGTCAATCAATCAGCGACAGCAGCCAGCAATGGCAGCCAAATTGCCACACAGAGCCACCCAAGGGGCTGCCACATCAGTTTCATCTTCTTCTTCGCTTCCACTGTTTCTAACATTCTTTAAGCTTCTTTTTGTTTTGTTTTTGTTTTGGTGGATGTCAGCAAATTGCAGCCATTGCCACTCACATAAACCAGCTCATGCACACACCCACTCACACACACCCACACACACACTCATCTGTCTACACACATGCAAACCACAAGAAACAACAACAACAAGAACAACAACCAAATTTCCCCCCCTTCTCCGCAGATGTGCGGCAATCGCCGTTTTCATTAGAATTGCAGCCACCGCTGGCTGAGGCCGCGGCGGGCGATGCCTTCAATGCGGGCAGCGAGCGAGCCATCGATAGCTATGGCAATCCGATCGATGCACTGCGTCCGATCGATACGCCCGATGGGCGGAAGGTGGTCAGCGCGCAGGGCCTGCAATTCGAGATACCCAATTATGCGTCGGGCATCACTGAGATACGAAAGCCGGCCGATGATCTGCTGCCACCGCATATTGGTGAGTTCACAACAACAGCTGGAGCAACCAAAGCGACAACAGCAACAGCAACAGCAACAGCAACAACAAAGGCAGCAACAACAACAACAACAGCAGCCACAATTTCATCCACATTACGCAATAGAATTAATCAAAAGCGCAATACTCAAGCAGCTTTAGTAAATTCCACAAATAGCATAAGTATCACAGCCACGCCCTCATCCACAGCCACACTCCCCGTCACATATGTAGCACCACTAACACAATCTGAATCGCAGTTGGATTCAGCTCATGCCAAGCGCGAATCATCTGGTCAGCAATATAAGATTACAGCAGCCAGTGCCCAGCACGCCCCGCCCACATTCACCCTGCTCACACTCAATCCAGAATTTAGGCCCATAGACAGCCCTCGACCCCGACCCCGACCCCGACCCCGACCCCGACCCATAACCAAAGCAAACAATGATAGCCTTGCCTTGATCGCATACTCAACTCCAACTCCGACTCCTTCCCAACTAGATCCAATAGCCGTGGCGGTGCCCAGTACGGACATCGATAGCACCGACAGCACCTCATTCGCACCAGCACCAGATACATCACTAACACCACCCAAGCATGAATCATCAACAACAACAACCATCGATGCCGATGCCGATGTCGCTGTGGAGGTGGAGCAGGCGCAGCTGGTGCCCCTGAGCCAGCAGCAGCCGGAGGAGAGTGCTCAGGCGCCGCTGCAGACGGACGGCACGCTGCCCGACTATCTGCTGGAGCTGCAGCAGCAGGACAAGGACATCGCTGGACCTGTGCCCTGGACACCGGCACCGAATGCTGCACCACTCAGTGTGATTGCCTGGGATCTGCTGCCGCCGCTGGAGGCACAGCGCGAGTCGGAGCCACACATCATCACCGAGCAGCAGCCCACCAAGCATGTGGTGGGCGTGGAGCAGCCCGGCAGCCACAATATACGCGTGAGCCTGAGCAGCGGCCAGGGCCTGTCGCCCGTGGCGCCGGCACCGCTCAAGCCAGGCCAAGTGGCTGTGGTGCCCGTACCCGTGCACGACGGACCCGAGGCACATGGCACCAATGCACATGTGGGCACCACCACGCCACGCAACGGCGCCAGGTTTCCCAATCGTCATCGCGGCACAGTTCATTACAGCACAGCCTCGGCCACACAGCGGCCACGCAGCACCACTAGCACTACTACTACCACCACCACCACCAGCACCACCACCACTACGCCACCACCACCACCAACAACAACGACAACTAGAAGAGTGACCACAACCAGCACACGCAGCCCGCCACGCTCCACAACGCCCCTGGATCCGTCCACCTTCTATAAGCTGGAGAACGAGGAGGCCTACGCCTACACGCTGCCGCCCTGGCTGCAGGAGGTAACCGATCCGGATCTGGATGTCGCCGTCACCTTCATAGTGCCCACCGACAACGATCAGTACAACCACACGGTGCCGGAGGATCTGGAGCCACCGTTTGAGCCGTTTGTGGACTTGAGCAATATTCAGCTGACGCCGCCTCCTGTAAGCAGCAGCACCACCAGCACCACCAGCAGACCCAGCACAACAACGAGAACAACTACGACGACTACGAGACGTCCGTCGACCACAACAACTCAAGCACCAGCACCAATAGCAGCGCGCACCACTCAAGCACCCATTTTCAGAGCACAAACCACCCAATGGTCGCATGCCAAGAGCCAATTGATAACAACAACCACAACAACATCCACAGCTCCGCCGTCCGTTGAGCCGAATCCCTTTGACTCGTCCACGTTGCCGCCCTGGCTGCAGGGCTTTGACTATCCCGATGTGGGTCCCGGCGTGCCCTATGATCCCGAGAACTTTAAGGATGTGCCGGAAACAAAGCCGGGAGGTATTAAACCTAATGACTTTCAGCCTCATGGCTTTGCCAGTAGATCTCAGTCAAGCGATGCAGCAGCCACAACAACAACCACCTCAGTGCCAACATCAACATCAACAACAACAACAACCACTGCAACAACAATAGCAAACACTGCTAACACTGCTTTCCCATCAAAAGTCACGCTTACGCTTCCAGCCCGCAGCAGCAGCAGCGATGGCCATGAGTTGACCAGAACTGTGAAGCCGCCGCTGGTGCTGATGCCGCCCGTCGCTAGCAGCGACGACTCATCATCCACATTGAGCAGTCCTGCGGCGACTGGCCACACACAAGATCCCACTACAAACTCCTTAACGCATTTTGCAGAACGCTTCGATGCGCCACCTGTTGGCCAGACAACGGAAACGAAAACCGCCGCCGAGCAGCAGTTCCCACCGTTCAATGCGGTCAGTGCGGGCAGTGCGGGCGACATCCCGAAGGTGGAGTACACCAAGAGCGACGGCGGCAAGGTCATAAGCACGCCCATCCACGTACAGCGTCCGGGTGAGTCTTTGGCTGGAATTTTCTGGCTGTGACCAAATAAACTAATTCCGATTCCTTGACAGAGCCAGCAGTGGTTAGCACCACATCGGCGCCAGCTGCCAATACGGGCAAGTATACGGGCGGATTTGGTGCGCCGGCGGGTCTGCTGCGTCCACTGAGCGGCACCAAGCCCGACATCTATGTGGCCGGCAACAATCACGAGTACAGCACACGCGTCAAGGCCAACCGAGTGCGTCCGGGCGCTGGAGCCGCTGCCACGGAAGCAGCCACTGCCGGCAATGGGGGCCGCTACACCGGCGGCTTTGGTGCGCCCAGCGGCGTGCTCAGTCCTCAGAATGTGCCCAGACCCTTCCAGCAGTCGCAGCAGTCGCAGCAGTCCAGCTCACAGGCATCCCAATTGGCTGGCGCCGCTTCGAGCCATCATCAGAGCCGCTTCGGCGGTCCGCCTGGCATCCTGGTGCCCTTCGACAATGTGCCGCGCACCGGTGCCAAGTAGGCGGCCAGGGGGCGTGGTGCATGTTGTATTGCAACTGCTGCAAGTACTTTAAATTATTTATAAAGCATGTATCTATGTTGAAGATCTTGAATTGAGAGCTCGATCTATACGTAAAGAAAACAACAAATCTATACGAATTTTGTGTCGCAACAAAAATTGAGATATATATATATATTATAGATATATAT